GGCAGTTGTCAATACTCAAAAATCGAAATTCCTTAAATTATGCCATGCTCTGTGTCAAACTCACTTATTTCCAGAATTATTTTGATATCAACTGGAATTGTATTATCGGAAAATTTCACTAATTCAGAAAAAAGTTTTTTAATTGATATAATTTTTATATTAAATTGGCCTCAATAATGTTCTGTTTACCATTTTAACGACTTGAATTTGCACTGTTTTGACAAGTGTTTTGGAATGTCGTTCAGTTCTAGTTGCATTCGTGCATTCGCAATGCTACTCATTTGAATAGCACACTCATTTGCAGTGCCATTCGTAATCATTCGCGAACTTTCGCGAATGCTTGTATATAAATACATTGAATGGTTCCATTCGCATTCGCACGCATTCGTAGCATTTGCAAATGTTTGTATCTAAATGTACATACTACCATTCGCCCATTCGCACAACTGGCACCATTCGCAGCTCGTGAATTGCCCCTAGTTGTTTTGTTTCTTTTATCTCCTTATTCGTATCGAAATGAACACAACTAATGCAGTCACTCAAAATATGAATGTATCGGTCCGCAATCAGAGTTCTGTGGGTGTCCAATGAAACATGTAGAATTGTGAACAAATTGGTTTCGGTTTTGTGTATTTCACAATGCGGTTCCTTAGGTTAACGCGGCATGACAATCTGTGTTTAATTCTTTGCATAAATACGACAATATTCGTTTATTTAACGACTTGACGCGTCATTTTGACTCCAGTAGGAATGAAAAGAAATCAGTTGTTAGTCTCCAAGAAAAGACTCGAAATATTAGTTCCTCGTCGGTTCTCTCTTCGTGCGATTGTCGTTTTCGTTCGTGACATTTGATGGCTCTGTGATTTTGCGCTTAAAAATTGGAAGATCAAAGTTTATATCACGTTATTTTGTTGTGTTCATTCTAAATAACACAATAATTAATAAACAATAACATTCTTTGTTTTCATTTTAATTAACTTGGCGATGTTGCCTAAATTGTCTAGAAATAGTGCAACGTATATCGTCCACGTATATCCTCGCTGGATTCCAATGGCATGATCACATGAGCCATTCATCATAAACATTGTAGTGCTAATGTGCTGATAGTATGCAACAGTTTACGTTGAGGTTGTGAATTTTTTTTTTTTTTGAAAAATTCAATTGCCATCGTATCGAATCTAGTGATCGTTGTGAAAGAAAACCAAGCAATTTTATATTTTGAAAGGAAAGAAAATGCCAAAAAGTGTTACAGTTTTGATTGATGTGAAGAAGTTCATCAATTTTATCCATTTCATCGATTTTCTTCGAATTAAAAGGAGAAAAATATATCTAAAGTGCATTCTTTTTGAAAAAGTGAAAGAAGAAATCTGCGAAATTTATGAAAGTAAAAAGTGAAAAAGTGAATCAAATTCAATACAACATATTTATTGTGGAAAATATGAAAAATATGGCAAAAAAAATATAAAAAGTATCTTCGACATATTTGGGATTACTTCTGAAGGATTACATTTTTTGAATGATCAAGTAAGTTTTTCTTCCTAAAATACTTCTCATTTAACATTTCATAAAATTTCAACCTTAATTTTTTATTTGAAGATCTTTTGACTTTATTGAATTCGGAAAAAATACGAAGATACACATTTGCTTCATTTCAATGGATGAGATTGAGAGTAGAGTATGTTTTCTCTTTGATTTGCATTTTTGAAGCGGCGAGTATGTTTTTTTGATGGTTCTGTTGGCGTTGAAGTAGAGTTCATTTGCATGCCACAGGTTGTCGAAGTTTTTCACCGTTTTCGCAAAGGCGATCATATAAAGATTTGGTTTCGTCAGCAAAGAAGTTTTCTCTTAGAAGACCTCGAGTACTGCAACTTTGCCGAAGAAACCAAACCTATTTCTCTTATCAATTTTGCGAAAACCATGGAAAACCACGACTACCTATCAAAAGTAAACATACTCGCTTTAAACAATTTTTAAGTTGAAAGAAACATACTCGTCTCTTCTATAACAACATCAGCGAAACATACGCTACTCTCAATCTCACCTATAGATCTATTCAAAATTTTATTTCTACATCTTCTTTGTTGTTTGGATTTTGAATCAATCAAAAAAATCTTTTATAATGAATAATTTATTGAACTTAATTTTATTTTCAATGAAAAGATAAAATAGGCTATAGTCTACAAAGGCTGAGATAGAACTCTGTAGAGCAAATAAACCTTCAGCTTATAGCTGGCTTAGTACTTGATTCAGCTACTAATTCAGTCGAACACAAACGATTTATCCTGTTAATGATTTCAGAAGGTTTGGGTCAATTTGGCTCATGAAAGGAAATATGAACCAGCCATCATCTGAAAAGTTAAACAGGTCAATTGAATTATACAAACATAATTTGTGAATTTATAATGTTATTTTTTTAGAAATTCACAAATTAAGTTAAACGAAACAAATTATTACGAATAAAAACTAGCATCGAAAAACATTTTCGAAGAATGAACAAAAATCACTTACAAGAGCTGGACTCAATCGTGTCGGAAATGCCTTTGCAAAAAGTGTCATCGCAATTGAGTTCACTATCTGTGAAATTTATTCTGTATACATCTTTGAACTGATTATATTCCGTTAATCTAACGATTTGCACATGCGCATCATCTGCTTCATTCTCTGTGGTACCGTTATACTTCCTAGAGTTATTATTCGACGATATTCTATCTCAAGGAAATCACCAACCGGGTTAACAATATGAAACAAAATAAAAACATGAGATAAACTGAATAATAATTATCAACTTCCCTGAAATGGCGGAAATACTCCGTGGGTTATACTTACACATAATGAAACGTTAATGTTTCCTTTTCCGCTTTTGTAAAACAGATATGGTCTATATTCCAACTGAAAACAAACATAAAGTCGAGATAATTGAACTCATTATAGTCGAAAGTACATTTTTTTTCCTTTTGTATACAAAATCTTTCTGTAGATAGAGAGAGTCAGAGTTTTTTGTTTCCAACAGGAACTCTTATACCTCGTTCTGTACGGTGCGAGGTTCAGTTCACCAGTTTTAAGCGAAATCTCATATTGAGTGAAATCGTTTTTGAAGATCAATTTATCGTCGTCTCTTTGAACTAAAACATTTTACAATGCAAAAAATGTTAGAATGTTTGATGAAAAAATAGAAAAATATTCGGAAAATTATGAAAATTGAATTTTTATCAACAAAAAAAAACTCCTAACGTTTTCAAATTTCGTTTCATAAATTGTGAAACAGAAACCAAATAAAATCCGAAATTGTTAAACCAAAAAATCAAACCGAAAAAGATCATACCAGCTCGCGCAGCTATTGGAAATGATTCTCCCATTTTAAGTTCATCGAACTCAAGGTCAGCCCAATAAATGGCGTCTTTGTCGCCGATCATTAAAAATATGTTCGAATATGGAATGTTCAATTTGTGCGCCTTTCCATGAAAGGTTTTACCATTGTCCAATGTGTATCTGAAAATAGCAGAGAGTCATAAAAAAGTCATTTCATTGCCATAAATGAATGAAAAAAATCAATTTCTATAATTACTGATGGATTTATAAGCGGTCAAAGTCTCCCATTTCTTTCTCGTTTTCAACTTACTCAAAATCATATCTTTCGACTTCATTTTTAATGTTGATAAAATTGAAATCCTTCACAAAATCCGAAAGTATAGCACTGCACCCAGCGACGAGAATCGTTGAGAAAAACATGGCAGCACTTGCTTTGAACATTTTTCTTTGGAATCAAAAATGCAACTAGATCAAAAATAATTTCTGCGATGCAAGAAGAATTCAACACATGACGTCATTCTCATGGCGGAAATACCATTTCAGGTATTTCAAGTAAAAAAAGGAAATAAAAACCAGAATTTCGCCCATAACAAACCCGAGAACAAACCACAAAAACTTGAATTCACAGCTACAAGTTCCAGCTTGTATGACACGCTTCGCTCTTATCATAGCAACCATAACGATTATTTGCCAACACATACATTGTGGGACTTTAAAAGTATTTGCGCAGGTAAAGTATACTGCGCCGCAGTTTTTTCTGGTACCTACGCCTTGTTCTCCGTTACCTGACCAAATTTTCATCAGCTAAAATGATTTGAGTAGAAAAATCGTTTAACTCTAATAAAAATCGGTCTATCGACCGACAAACTTCGTCTATTTTGATAAAAATGAGTGATTTTTCGTTCGATAGACATTGCTTGTTGAGTGAAATAAGTGAGTGACTGATAACAATTATAATTTCAATGAGACATAAACAAATTCCGGGCACCGCCTTCAAAAACGTTTGTCATTACGATTGTTTCAGTTGTTTTTTCTTCTATACTACAGGTTCGTAGTAAGTCATTATTTACTCGATTGGCACGTTGCCAGCTATTTATTCACATTAGAGACGTGCAAAGAGACGCTAGAAATAATCAATGCATACATTCTTATGCATTGGTTTATACAATACTTTTTACATCCAAATCCAATCCTAGATCACAATTTTACGGTCAATAATTTCAAAAGTTCTGGGTCAATTTCGCTTATGAACCGAAGCTACACATGACCGATAGTAGCTGAAAATAAAATGTTGAATTTGTAAAATCTCAAAAACAAAACGTGTGAATCAAATTCACTCACATTGACTAAGTTCAATGAGCCCAGAAATGCCTTCACAAAAGGTTTCCTTGGAGTTGAGCTCATCTTCTGTCAATATCACTTCGTATACACCTTTGACGAAGGGTTTCATATCGTAATCACGATGATACATTAATTTAACACTCTGCGAATGTGGATCGTTGGCTCTGTATTCAGTAGTACCGTTAAAATTTTTCGAATTATTGTTCGATGATATTCTATTTCGAAGGAATGAAAAATGTCAAAATTTTTGAACAAAATAATGATCATAGATTGTTTCATTTGACTTTTTGACACTAAACAAAGCAGACACTTCATGAGAGTAACATACTTTGTTGCAAAAAGTATACGAATCAGTTTGCCGGTCACAAGTGAAATTTCGTATTCACCGGAATCATTCTTGAAAAATAGCTTATCGTCGCTTCTCTCAACTGAAATGTTCAAAATTGAAACGGATTTGTCATCTTTAATTTCATGGTTGATAAGGTTCTAGGTTTGAGTTTGAAAAAAACTGAAGAGACATGTGATGTGAAACAGAGCATTGAAGCTGCTGCATATATATTTGCTGCTGGTGAACAGATCTGTTCGACAGCAGCTGTTGCTTGCGTGAATATTCGCTGTGAAGCACGTTCGTTCATGTATCGATTCTCACGCACAATGTTTGTCTCTTTCATTCATACGGAACCAGACAGAGAAGCATATAAAACACACGAGGCACGAACGGCAGCTCTGAGTGTGCACGCGCGCGTCGCTTACGATGTATCTCGTGTGTTCTGTACGCTTGAACGAACGTGCTTCACAGCGAATATTCACGCAAGCAACAGCTGCTGTCGAACAGATCTGTTCACCAGCAGCAAATATATATGCAGGAGCTTCAATGCTCTGATGTGAAATGAACTGAATGAAGAGAAAAACTTTCACGCATGCTTTATGGGTGTGCGAAAGAGAAAAACTGACCACTTCGCACCGATTTGCAGAATGGTTCTTCCATGTTAAGGTAATCGTTCGTTGGCTCAGCCCAATAAACGGTGCCATTGTCACCGATCAATAAATGTACTCGAAAGTATGGAATGTCCACTTTGTGAGCTATTCCATGGTAGGTTCCGCCGTTGTCAAGTGTGTACCTAAAATCAAAATAGAATTTAGAAAAAAAAGCAACTGAATAAGTAATTAACTTTGAATCGTGCGTTTCTTGTTCATTTTCAACATACTCAAAATCATGTTTTTCCCTCTCATTTTTAACTTCAATAAACTTAAATTCCGTAACATAATCGGATAGTATGGCACAACACCAAGTTACAAGAACTGATAAAAAGAACAATGCTGCACTTAATTTGAACATTTTCTCTTAAAATCGAAAATTCGACTGCGAACAATTTCGTTTTTTTTTTTTATAAAATTGTCTTGAAAGATAAAAAGAATTACATTGGTAATCCCGAACTTTTCCGTACCGTTGGCCTGCGTTGTCCGTAGGTACTTTTGGTTATTTTTTGTGAATTTTCTTGAAATAAAGGCAGTGAAAATATAATAATAAAAATAAAGTGAAAAATTCTCATTAGCTTTAAACTTTCTGAGGTTTCATTTTTTGGAGAAAAAATAAGATTCTGAAAGTTTCATGTTGATCGCATTAGCAGAAGTTTGGTTTTTGCCCCTCAATTTTTTCCAAGAAAATTTCGACAAAAATTGAGGACAAAAAATCAAACTTCTGCAGATGCGATCAACATGAAACTTTCAGAATCTTATTTTTTCTTCAAAAAATGAAACCTCAGAAAGTTTGAAGCCAATCAGAATCGATTAACGGGTACCTCCCATACAAAATTGTTCGAAAATCGGTAATTTTAGTCAAGATTTCAAAAAAAATTGTATGGGAGGTACCCGTAAATCGATTCTGATTGGTTTCAAAATTTCAGAATCTTATTTTCCTCCCAAAAAATGAATTCCCAGAAAGTTTGAAGCCAATCGGAGTCGATTTACGGGTACCTCCCATACAAAAGTGTCAATTTTTTGAGGTTTTTCTTAGGGCAAGTACCCCAGGATCAAATCGAAAATGGCTCATTTTCGAACTTAAACTAAGTTTTTCGAATACAAAACTTTTGGCATTTCCAGATTTTGATTATCTCAGTTATTTTTTGAGTTATAGTGTTTACAAACAGCTACGACGACGACAACGACGACAACGACGACGACGGCACACGAACGGAAAAGTGTCTCAAAAAGTGGTTTTCTACGCGTTTCATGAGTTTTTATAACGATCTAAGCTAATTTTGCGAAAAAAGTTTTCGGGACCAATTCCTATACTTTCCCTTGACACGTTGTGTACGGAAAAGTAATAACAAGGCTTCGATGCGTAAACCCATTGCCATTCTCACGTGACGTATTTTAAAATGCGGGAATTCCACTTCCCATCTTTTTTTAGCACTACATGAAATGTAAAGCTTCTAATCTGGTGTAAATGTAAATCTTCTTAATACTTTTTGAGTACTGAAACGAATTCGTCCGTATGCAAACTGAGGAATGGTACTGCTTCTTCTTCTTAACACATACTGTAAGTTGCCATATTGGAAGAAATAATGACAATACACTATAAATATTCAATATGGCCGCTTCCATTGTGCACGATTGTGTGTACGATAGTGTGAAGAATAAGAAGTATTAGCATGCACAAAAAGTGCATTGGTTTTCATATGGATGAACAAATTATGGTGAATTTCAATTTTAAGCTCATATTTTTTATTTAATTTAAAACAGCGGCAGTAACGACAAATGGGTGCATAATATCTCGAAGCGTCAATCGAATTTTTATGATAAAATGTTTTTTTCAAAAATTACTTTATTTCAAACTTTTTTCGTACAATATTTTCCGAGGGGCGAATCACTCTAAAGTAATTTGTAATAGAGAAAGTAATCGAGAAACTAATTTACGTGTAAAAATCTCGATTACTTTTCAAAACTAGTTTGTTGTGAAACAAAAAAATAGTATAAGTAACTAAATTCTCAAGAACGCAGAGCGAAGCGAATCTATTTTTATAAATCGAACTAGATCGTTGACAATGAAGAACCACTTCTTACTACACTGTCTTAATCTTACGTGTGATGCAGTTTTCGTATAATGAACTTTTATGGATTGTTATTTCATTTTTATGGGTGTTAATTTGCAAAGAAGAACGTAAAAAGAACAAAACAAAACTATTTCAAAAAAATTCAGTTATTTATCAACAGAAACCAGTTGCTGTCGTCATGAGTGCTGTAAAATATGTTTGAATTCGTCTAATTTGTATAATTCGGACGATTCGAATGACTTTTCTGCTTAGTATTTGACAAGTTCATGAGCCTTTGATATTGAACTTTGGCGACACTTTTTTGATAAAATTGTTCGTTACCAAAAAAAATGTACACAATTTTGTCGGTGTTTACCGTAAGCAATTTATGTGGCATACAAATTTTTAAAAAACCGGTTACGATGGTCTTTATATTTTTTCTTCTCTGTTGGTCTTCACTCATTCATATATTCATAAATCTAATCGCGATTAAAACTGACATTGTTCCACGGAATGGAACAAGTTTATTATTTTGTCCGCAAATAGTAAACTACCAAATCAAACAATAGAATTATAGCATTTGCTAAGCATTGCAAATTCCAGCGAAAAATTGTTAATAATGTTTCAACTGAATTTACGTTTTCCAAGGTTTATTAGACAATGTTGAACTTCCTTGAATCGATAGAAACTTTGACACTTCAGTTAACTCAAATTGGTCCACTGAAAATCGAATGTGGGGATTTTTCTTCTAATACTTCTCTAAATGAATAAATAGCTCAATTATTCGCTTAAATTCATTAGTTCAAAAGTGCAGCTTCAAAGAATCATGTTCAGTTTACGTGTAGCAATATTGTTTCCAACCATTTTTGTTGTGGTATCCAGTGCTTATCTCTCTGATGGTGTTAAAAAATTTAATTTTGTAAGAGCCAAAGATGATAGCAGTGAATATGATTTTGAGTGAGTTGCCCGAAATTTTCAAACTCTGAACATTGAATTGAATGAAACATCAATTATTGTTGATGAAATTCTTTAATCAATCGATTGACCAAGGAATGACCTGGTGAGAATTTCAAACTTCAAGTTTTTCATACAGAATCTCCTCAATTCAGATACGAATTGGACAACGGTCAGACTTTCCAAGGCAGAACTTACAAGTTGAATTTTCCATATCTACATGTTTACATGATGCTCGGCGCCAACGATACCATTTATTGGGTTGAACTTAGCACTAAAGATGAGGTGTTGGGCGATGAACCATTTTCCAAAATCGTTCGACTTGGTAGGTTTTGTTGTGGAGAATAAAACTCATTTTCTCGACGAAAAATCGAAGTCTATTTCCATTTGGTCCATTTTAGTTGAACGAAGTGAAGATAAACTGAATTTTAGAGATGATTTCAACGAACACCAGCTTTCACTTTCAACAGGCGAACTCAAACGGACACCTTATGAAACAGAGTATGTTGGAAAATAGCAATTTATGAAGTTTTGAAAAGATGCTTTGAACTCTTAAATTGAGTTAGCCTTTCAAAAAACAACCTTTCATAATAAAATTCCGAAGGGACGACGAAGGTTTTTTTTTGGAAACGAAACATGTTCCAGAAATTGCATTTGTTTTCGAAGAAATTCTTTTTATTCTTCAAAAAATGTGAGAAACTTGACTTTTCTTATATTTCAGTTGGGATTTGGAAAACGTTTGCTTCGTAAGAAGCAATATTGATTCAAATACATTTGAATATGTGTAAGTTTTGCGTTGATCATGGGAAATTGTTGAGAAAAATTCGTTTATTTAAACTATCACTTTTTGATTTTTTTCAACATAAATAGAATTTCCTCAAGAAATAATTCGAGAAAAGAAAAAAGTATAACAAAGAACGAGACATTTGAACCCAATGTGCAGCACGTGACATTGTTGGATGATCTCCGCTACTATGGCGTTTATGAAGTTAGGTTCACTGACGAAGAACTTCATTCCAACGCAACATTTTGCAAAGGCATTTCCAAAATCGTCAAAATCATTTATTGTAAGTGAATTTCATTTCAGAACAACGAATGCTAAATGAATCTAACCTGTTTGGCTATTTTTTCAGACAGAATCGTACAAATGCCCATTTCCACAAATGAAATAAATTCCAACCTTTTGAAGTCTTTGGTGGGCTAGACTTGGAGATTGAACTTAAAATGGATTTTGATTAAAGAAAAGTTGATTTTAAACAAAAAAATTCCAAAGGTTGCCCTTGCTTGAGCATCTATATCTTTGATTTTAACTATTGATTTGCTGAAGAATGGATATAAAAGCTCTTAGATATCCAAAATCATCTAACGGCCTTCGATTCCGTTATTGCATTGCCTCCAGAAACCCAAATTATATCTTTAATAATTAAAATAGTCCAAACTGTTCGTGGGGGAATGTAGAAGTGAAAATTTGTCACTAATTATCTTTTGAAAACTTGAACGTTGAATTTAAATTCAGAAATCACTAAAATATCATTAAATACACCAGTTTACATGAAAATGTCGAAATGCCTAAAATTATTGCTTGCTATTTCTTTGAATAAAATTGCAAACCATGGTTCATGTTACCATGAATGATTTTGTAGAATTCTGCTATCATCAAAAACAATTAATGAATTTACGAAAACATTTTTTTTCCTTCCAATTTTTGAACAAAACCCCGTTTTCCAAAAGAGATTATCATGAAGAATTTTGAGGGAAAATTTAGTGAGAAATCGACTCTATGAAGTATTATTTTCTTTTATCTGAGCCGTGGCTAAATATAGAACAAATTCGAGTCGTATTTCCCACTTTCTCTACGCTTCATCTTTAAGTTCAGTTTCACTCACGATATGACGCTCCAAGTATCGAACATGTTCGTAGTTTTTCACTCACTTCTCCACTTCGTCCGATAATTTTTTGTTTCAATGGAGGAAAGAACGAAAAAGCTTTAGCTGGTTACTGAAATCATAATTTCTTTAAAGAAAATCACCGGAAAATCCAAGCTTGAAAAGTCTTAAAAGATCGTTGTTTCGATCAGATTCTTTGCTTTAACTCATTTTTGACTAGATAAGGATTTTTTGTTGTTGTGAATTTTGGTGCAAAAAAATGTGTTGAAAATATCACTGTCACAACAACGCTCAACGAAACAGGAGGAAAAAATACTGAGGAATGAACAAGCATATTTGAATTTTCGGCGATTCAATGACGTTTTTCATTTAATTAAGTTTGTGATTGGGAATTACTTGTAAACCGATCTAAAATGGCATTGATATTCACATATTTGATCGTTAAATATTTTTTATTGCATAACCGAAGTGTTTCACATTAAAAACAGTTTCACAGAAAATGTACAAACAAATCCATTCCAAATGGATGGCTTCGTATTGAAAACAAATAACGTATCATTAACAAATTCCTTTAGGAAGTGTGTATGAAATGCTAAGTAGCAATTTAGCGAAATTGCATCGTTTTTTATATGCATCCATTGCCCCAGCATGCACACCAGGGTATTTTGCCGCCACTTTTTGAATGAGATGTGATCGACATTTTTCGTCTGGACGTTGATTGTTGGCTGATATTGCCGAGTGATTCACGTGACGAGGTCATGTTAAGGCCAATCGATGAACCAGTCGATCCGCCCAGATTTGTTCCACTCTGCATTCCCATATTGGTACAGTATTCACCACAGTAAGGGTCAACACCTGAATGAAAAATTTATAGAAAAACAAAGATGTTGTTTGAGCTACAATGATAACTGTAAATATCTCACCAGAAAAATGATACCGCTTACCCAAATGATTGTTGTGACCTCGATGACACTGGCATCGATTGGAATTTTTGGCCATCAATTCATAGTCTAGGTATTGAGTAGGTTGTGTCGCTATTAAACCGTCCGAATGTCTTCGAGATAAAAATGACGGTCGTCGGCCACGTTTATAAGCACCAAATGCAAACGGATTTGGTGGATACAAAAATGCTCCAATTTCATCGTTCACTTTTCGAGCACACGACGAACGACGCGATCGAAGATAAGCAACTGGTGGTATGGCAAGTATTTCCTCTTCGGTCATTGTGTCGGCCGCATTGTTTAAATCGGAATCATTGGAATGTGGCTCAGTTTCTTGTTGATTAGTTATGGGTTTTCCATTGAAATGGATCGATACACATCGCCCATTTTGATCCTTATTTTCATGGGAGTTTTTCGAACTTCCACCGGTTTCCTTCTGGAAAAGTAATAAAATGGTAATGAAATGAAATGAAATTAGATTCATTTGGTAAACGATTTCTCAATTGACTCATTTCAATTTGTCTCAACTTTGAAGTCAATGAAAAAACTTCATAGTTTTATGAAAGAAAGCCGGAATAATGATGCAAAGGTGCAAGAAAGCGTAATGATGCATATAAAAAAAAAACCAAACTTTCTCACCGAATCTTGTGAATCATTCGAATCTCTTTTCTTTGTCTTGGAATTCGAATTTGCTTCCTTTTCCTTGCTTGCGCTCGGAGAAGTGCTATCTCCATTTGTTCCATCCTCATGTTTTTCACCATTTTTCGCAACTTTTTCTTTGGTCTTTGTCACTTTACCATTACATTCATTGCTCTCATATGTGGAATTCACTTGAGATTTCGACAAAATTTCCTCATTTGCCGAATTTTCAACGTTTGCTATCGATTGCTCCACTTCTTGTGAACTACAGCCAATTGGTTTGAACTCAGTTTTTCCCGCGTATGTCAATTTATTCGGAAGTAGCTTCATCGCTAGCGGTACATTCGGTGGCGGTGTATCCACATCGAAATCTTGTGTTTTCTCTGAATTTTGAGTGGTTGAATATTTCGATTTATTCCCACTGTATGATAGAACTAAGCTCAAATCCGAGCGAAATGGTGGCGACTGATCCGAATCGGTGCTGGTTACATTCTCATAGAGTCGATTCGATTGCATTTGCATACTTTCAACGCCTTTGGATAAACCTTGGATTTCTTTAGCTTCCAGTTGGCTTGATGCCTGCAAAAAAATACGCTTCATTAGAAGTCGATTCGTGAAAAATGATGCCTCATTGAAGCCGCATTGAAGAGGCCATGGTTTTAGCCAAAAAATCATTCAACCGGAAAACTATTTCGGCCAAAATAATCGAAATCTTTTTTAGTAGGAAATAAACAGCGTTCAATTTAAACACCTTGAAATGAACTCTATTGAACATGAAACAAAATACCTCAAAATACTGTATTTACCTCTGGATCAATGCTTGCAATATTCAAATTGCTCGGATATTTCAATGGATTGTGAGGTTTTCGGATGGTTGCCACTCGACTCGCGTCTGACGGCACAACGTTATTGACGAAAACATCGGGTCGCATCTCCGAGCACATGGATGACTTTCGTTTGCTTTTCAACGGAGCAAAGAAATATTTTGGCAACTTTTCCGTGGCGCCCGTTTCATTATCGGGTGATTCAAGATGAACAATGTTGCCTTCGTCGGTTAAAATCGGCGGAGGCGGCAGCGGTAATGATGTGCTTCGTCTATTAAAAAAAGTGGAAATTTTAGTTTATTTCTTACGAAAATCGATATTTTATTGTTGAAAATTCTTTTGGCACCTGTTCATGGCTTGCACTGATGGTGGCGGGCTCGGAGGTGGTGGTGTTGGTTCGTTTGCTTGATACATTTCACCATCGAAGTGAATTTCACCCAGAGAATCTGTGGATTATAATTTTTTTGTTGATAGAAATAAACAAATGTTACTCAGTTTTGTAAACATTTCAATTGAGTTTAATCCATTTTTGACTAATTATTATGATAAAATCGTCATCTGGTGACCAAATGCTGGTCATAAAAATGGCTCATTTCAAATGGATTCAGAAATCGAAAGAGAAAATTGAAAAAAATACTCAGTTCAAACTCCGAACTTTTGAATTATCATCAATTATCAAGAAAAATCTACTCACCAACATTCGGTCCAATGTCTTTATACGATAAATTTTCAAAGTGTTTCAATGGTGGAATTGTCGATTGGAAATTCGCGTAGATTGGATCTATCGCAGTTTCACTTGGTTCATTGTCTGATTTATTATTTTGATTCGTTTGATCGTCACTGTTCGATAAACATTCTTCCGAAACGACCGATAAATGATCGAAATTCATGTTGATTTTCTCATTTCTTATCGGTGCTGGCATCAAAGCTGGTCCACATTTATTCGATTTAGTCGATTCGTATCCATTCACTTTGTCACCATTCGTAGAGTTACTAGGTTTTTGGTCGTCAAACTCTTTTGCATAACGCTCATTTTCGTTGCACATATCACAGAAAATGCCATCCTGAAAATAGTACGACAATTTAATTGAGTTGTTGAAGAAAAATAGTGGGAAATAAAGCAGAAAAAGATAATAAAAAAAGAGATGATAGAATGAGAAAAACTAGATATCTTGAATCGAAGAAAGTTGAATGACTCTATTAGTTGACACTCTTAAAAAAAATTGACTTCCTTCATAAGATGCCATTTGATGATTGAAACGAAGTGTCACCACTTTGAATCCTTCAATTCATAACAAAACACTGTTTCATTCACAACCAAAGTGCAATTCATTGCAAACTTGATTCTCCGCGAAAGGAAAATGATGCATATGCATTTAATTGCTTGCATTTGTGGCAATAAAAACAGATGCATCAATACTTACTTCGTCAGTGAGACAATTGTAACATCGATATGAATCGTCGTAGTCACATCCAAATTTAAAATCACCCCGATAGTCGTGTGAGCCTTTGGTTGAATGACCATTTGGTTGGCTTTTGGTTTTCAACAGCTTATCCAACCGATCGTATTCATCACGTAGCGTCCAGTTCTCTGATCGCAAGCGATAGTTCTCTCGAAGCAGCTTCTTTATATCCGACTGTCCTAAAACAGATGGTTCAAATGCAAAACACATTTTTTCTTTAGTTTTATGCTTCACATCGAAATTAAAATTCACTTAATCACACATGTTGAACACATTAGATGTAGATTGCAATTCGAATCGTGAATTGATTTTCGTGGATTGTTTTTTTTTTCGTTTCGATCATTTTTTTTTTACTTTTGAGCTCTCGCTTTTTTCAACTGAACTAATTGATTTGTGACGAACCGTTTGCCCATCGATTCAACCGTTAGTAACCAATTTTCAAGCGTGTGATATTACCTCTCTCGACTTCTGCATTGATATTTATTGTACGTAGCCTAAGCTCCTCATTCTCGTAGATCATACCACGCGATGATTTCCGATCCAATCTGCGAATGAGAGAAACACATTTCACGTCAATTTGATCTACACACATTTTATACGATTCAAATTTTGTTTCGTTTTTATTGCATACACAGAATTAGCTTAAGGTCAACAAATTCACGCGACAAAAAACAGGTGATTTTATAAATACACAATTCCTTTGAGACACAAAAAACACAATATAGAACTATTTTTATTTCATTCAATTTGTATCAAAGGTCAAAATCACGCATTAACCCGGATAAATGACATGTCTTTAGGCAGTTTTTCACATGTATACGGTTTTGGTACAGTAAAGCATAGAGAAAACTCGTGGAATTCATTGTATTTTTATTATTTTGTGGTTTTTTTTCTTTGAATTCTATCAATTTTTGCAATTGAATCGTTCAATTTTCACTTATTGCCGATGAAATATCACACACATTTGATGAAAAGGAAAAAAAAATGGAAAATAAAATGAAGAAAAAAAGGAAAAGGAATTGAAAAATGGAAAAAGCAATGAAAAAGTAGGCAGATAAAGGATAAGAATTAGGAAAAATAACGGAAAAATTAGATAAAAAAAAGAAGAAAAATCTAAAAAAAGAAAAAGAATCCAAAGAAAGGGTAAAAGAACCGAAAAAAATTAAATGGATAAATTTTCACGTTAAAAATGAAATCTAAAGGGACACAAAGAAGATATTCCAGACCGACAATGTCGCCAATCGACTCTATATTGCTCTTGTCCGTTGAGCGGATTGATTGCGCGCATTACGATTCGTAGTTAAACGAAAACTCTCGTTGGAAAAATTGAAAACAGTAAAAATGACTCAAAAATCACTTTAAATTTCAACACTAATTATTTATCAAGTGATCCATTGAATAAATTTGTTTATTGAATTAAGAGAAGAACCATTGAACATCAAAATAAATAAATCGATAAATAAAAAATCAGAAGAAAAAACAAGAATCAGAATAGAAATCAGATAAAAATGAAAATAAAAAAAAAGAATGAAAGAACTGTCCAGAAAATTGCAAAAAAAAACTGCTACTGAAAGTCGCTGAGAAGGTGAAGTTCGAACGGACCTTTTGCGACTAATTTTATCAATTTAATTGATGACAAAGGCAGCCAAACTATGGATCGAAACTATTTCCAATGCTGTTTACTAGGAATCTACGCAAATTCATAAACACCAGCAAAAAATATATAAATAAAATCATAAAGAGTGAATCTCGGATATAGTTAGAATCTGTGATAAATGCGGTGACCTCTTGTTGACGTGACAAAATCGTTCGTCGTATCAGTGAGACAATTAGCATACGTCAAACTCACACTTAGTTCAAATCGGCGTCGAATCGGAACCACACACAATTTTATTAGCTTCCTTGTAGTTTTTTTCTCACTCTTTTTCTCTTTTCACCAGAACTAGTCTCTATCACCAAGGAATCTGGTTAATTTAATACTTAATCACACCGAAAAGCAGGAAAAAAAACTAAAAACGACCGAACAAAAAAATTATGTGTCCGAAAATCGCGTTTCGATGGTTTTTGTGATGCCCGTGACATATAACTTAACTCCGAACACAGTAAATCCGTACGTCTGACACAGAGAGAGCAACACAATACATATGGCTTGTTCAATGTTCAGCCATACAACCCAAACCGCAACATAATTTTCACGCCTATATCGGCCTGTTCTTCGATGAGTTTGTGGACGGCGGATTTATGGTGATATTGAAATTGTTTGCTTTTTTTTCGTATTTTAAAACTAATTCAAATGGCAATCGAAAGTGATTTTTTTTTGTTAGAGTTTCAAACTTCGAATCAAACACCGTGAACAAGAAAAAAAAAAAAGAGTCTCGAACATATGCTCGGCGACTGAGAGACAAAAATACTAAGAATAAACACGGTTTAAAACGATGCGTAAATAGCGAATGCCAAACGCAAATGGATGTGATCGCGGCAAGAGTGATCTGTAGTTTTGAAGAGCGGTCAGTTCAGTGGCAAATGCAAATGTGTGTCGTTGTAAATATCTCTCTCTCTTTCTCGTTTGGATTCATTCACGGTGTGTTTTCGGTTGTTGTGCGATGTAGGAGAAATGTTTCTATTTTTAGGCGATTTTTTATCCGTGATTTTTCGTTTGTTGTGTTATGAATTTGGGAATGCAAGACAAGGAAAACCGATTGGAAGCAAAAACCGAGCAGACGGTCGGGCGGTCGGTCGTTGCGTCGCCTTTGCACAGATAAATCGTATCATTCCGTCGTCAGCAATGCTACTCACTCGTGTGCGAGCTGCACGTTCTCAATGACATACACACCAAAACAATCAACCGCCGCACAACTCAATCGTCATCTCGCTCGCACTCAAAACACAGCTAAATTTGGAATATCATCGAAATTTTCATGTTTTTCTCATTTGGCTCTTGTTTTGTGTGCCCTTTTTTTCTCATCATTGTTTTTCTTCGCTTTTTTCCTTTCTTTTTGTTGTTTTTCTCTCCTTTTTCCCTCATTTTCATTGTTTTTCCGCATTTTTTGCCTTTATTCATCTTTTTTTTCATTTTTTTTCCTCATTTTCTTTCATTTCATTGTGCCTCTCGTTCTCTACCTTCGAAGATGTTTCAATTTTTCGATTTTCACCACAAGCAACCCACGAAACGAATCAATTGTACGAAAAACTCGCAAAACGAATCAATTGCACAAGTGCATATTGCAAATCAATTAAATGCATTTCGGTTCAATTCAAAGTTTGAATTTCAAACGGAGCATTTTAAGCGTTTTACTTGAATTTTCACTCCGTTCGATGTCTTGCGTTCAGTTCTTCCTTTCTTTTCGGTGTTTCACTTCGTTTTTCATGCCGTTCACTTCGCTGAACTCGTTTCACACTTATCAATCCGATTCGTTCACTGGTTTATGTTTACCGCTCGGAATATACATGTTCCGCGCAATAAGCAGCAGAGTTAAATTGTTCGGAGAGTTGAAAAAATTTACGTACAAATGAGTCGTGTCGACAAGGAAAAATGAATGTTTTCGCGAAAACCACAATCAGTGCGGACAAATCGATGTTTTAATAACTATCATTTAGGCGTGGCATTACATTGAACCGATTTTTCTTCTGGGACCGAATTTATCATTCTTCGTTCGTTTTTGTGTGCTTTTGAAGTTAAGTTGATTAATTTTGACTATTTTCCACTATTTTCCGCTATTTTCGAGAATTTTTTTCAGTGAAACATAGGATTTTGACTAGGATTCTGGGTAAAACATACATTTTTGACTATTTGTCAAGATTTGAATAGTCATTCTTTGACTGTTTTTTTCTATTTTTTTTTATTTTTTGACTATGTTTCTGTAATTTATTGAAATGAATTATTCCTATAATCATCGAGTTAATCGAAAACATCAAGTTAATAGACAAAAAAACACGAGAAAACTTTCCATTGAAAATCTGACTAAAAACAGACTCACTTTCGATTGGGTTTAAAGTTGGCATGTCGTCGTCGTTCTCGTAGCATGTTTGCTTCGTGTGAATGTCACACAAAATCGGTTGAGCTCGTAATTTTCAGTGTGTAGCCAACGAGTAACACGTGAACAAAATTAATTTAATAGTTTTATGCTTTATTTTTGTTGTTGTTGAAAATTATCACATTTACAGGAGGATCGTCGTGAGGCGCATTTTTACGTCACTTTTAACAAATAGCGAGTAGTAGCAATAGGCGGCGGCAGTAGCACTTTGATGTTTTTTTTGTTCTCATGTTTTCTGTTCCATCGTTCGAAGCGTTACGCGAACAGTGAAATGCTTTCGATCAATCATATTTGGCGTCATAAATCCACCGAATCACTGCACTTAAAATCGCTTTTTATTTTCGTTATTAAAATTCGCACAAGTATCTTGAATCCAAATCGGTGAATTGCGATTATCACAACGCAATAAATCGATCAACTAAAACTGTGTGTATGTGTAATAATATTAACGATTATCTAGTTTTAACGATGAAAATTAACCGAACTTCGTTTGTTTTTAATGTATTAATCGCATAGCACCAAAAATCCAACTGAATGATCTCAGTGCCGTGTATTAAGGCCGACTGAAAAATGCACACGTACGCAACCGATCGTGTCTGTTTCGATTTGCCCCTCGATTATGATCTCGTTATGAATCCTCTCTCTCTCTCTCGCTCTCTATTCGCTTCGATTTTCTAAATGGTTCGCTCGTCTTTTTTTCCATTTTGGCGCCTTGATTAACGAACACATTCACCGAACATAATAATGAATCCGATCAGCCGATGAATTCACATGTACGAGCTACACGCAGTGTTCTATGGCATTCTTTGCATGTTTTTCCGTTCATGCTTTGAACTTTTCAACAGTTGTAAATGATCGTCGGCTCGACTGTTTTGCCCATCTCACTTCATTCAAGACGATTTTTGCTCCCATCTCGCTTCAGTTAATTGACTCGACGGCAAACATTTTCTTAGTGTGTTTTTTTTTTCTCATCGAGATGCGCTCTCGTTTCTTGGGATTGCGTTGCGCTATCTTCGCACACGAGATAAACATGGATCACATGTAAAAATAAACATTTCGTTCGAGTTTCCAATCTACGAGTTCACAAGTCGTTGTCTGCTTATTGTTTGCGCAATTCGATAACATCGGAGCGAACGTGCTTTCAACGATTCCCTTGAGAATAACGTACAAACTGTGTTTTGAAACAGTTAATTGAGCTGTGTCTTCGGCAAATTACGTGTTACTCCACTTTCAACGGCTATTTTCAAATTACCTTGAAATTTATTTGTAAATAAATTTTAGTGTGATTGCGTTTTATTCCCATTACGATTCAATAAAATCAATTATCACGTTGGATGAACTCATGCTGTTTTCGATGCGTTTAATTTCCTATGTCATTTGTCTTTTATTTGAATTTCGAAACATTGGTGCGAATTCCTTTTTGATAGCATCCCTAGGGGTTTCACGCAACTTAAAATTCATCTAAAATTTCAATATTTCTCTCTTTTCTCTAAAATACTCTGGGATTCACCAAAATCCGTATTATTTCGAAATATTTCAACATTCACCTTGAAAATTATGTTCTGGAAGTGGGTTTCGGTGGATCTTCAGGATGGATCAGACTGGGTTTGACAATGCCCTGGTCCATCCTGAGGATCCACTTCCAGAACCAGGAGCGGTTTTGAACAATCCTGAGGATCCACCAAAACCCACTTCCAGAATTTTTAGATTCAAAAAATTCTAATAAATTCGAGTTTATGAATAAAAAGAAGCAATATCTATAGTTTACACATAAAATGGTTTTATTTCCAGCTATTTAGTAAAATCTTCGGCCTTCGAGTTTGCGTGAAACCCCTAGTAGTATCCATATCTATTTAATTTCAACACAATCTTAGGATTAAATGAATAGGATTCGTAGCCATGTTTCATGGATCGGTTTCATTGTTATGTTTAAACAGAATCTTAATCAATCATAAGATAACCGTCCACCAAGTGACACTTCGTAATACAAATAATAATGGGCAAACCATACGAAGCAGGCTCGAATGACGAAATAGTCCATCACGTTTGTATCAAAAAAGACCAATGAGTGTGAAATAGTCCAGTTATAGCACACAAAAGACACTGGATGTTATTTCACAGAAGGCCGTTCACATTGCGCATGTGTAATCCTAATACTCACTGAATACTTTCAAAACCACCCGTGGTGGAGCTAGCCTCTTTTCGATGGGATTTGAATTGTAATAGCTAACAGTGCAAGCCTTGTACCTAGAAATGGCTAATTTTCAACAAACTTAGGGACAAAATATAGAAAAATACTGAGCTATGAGGCAGAAACGTGAAAAAAACATTCATAATAAAAGCAAAGATGACATCACGGCTAAACCGATTGGCACAAATTCGATTTTGACTCCTATGTTGTGATCATCAATCACAGATTTATTCAACCAATCGAAAAAAAACATTGTCGATTCTAGACCAACTGACGATTCCTTTTCAAAACAAATATCACAATGGTTTTTATACTGAATTGGTTTGCATGTAAGGTCGAAAACCTTTCATTTCACTGTCTCAAGTGTCGCCACCTAGAAGTGAATGGCGTCTCACAAAATTTTAGCTGTGATGCAAACTTATCGTATATTTGTTCAAGTGTATGACTTGCACAAACAAACAAACAAATAGATTATGTCCAATGTTTATAAACATTAAAAGTGATATATCACACCATTAGTATACTTCTTATGACACGATAAGAATGGAGGCGATAGGAAAAAAAGTCGGCGATGTAAAAGAAAATACTACAATATTTGTATATAACGAAATGAATTATTTGAAATTGCAAAAACATCCCGAGTGCCAATTGACATACAAACGGAACTTGCGGCTCATTCAACCGATTCTAATCTATTCTCCCTCAACCCAATGAGGCCCAGACAGAGGAAAATTTAAAAAAGAAATCCAACTTCAGTCCATAGTTAACTTGATTTGGAATGATTGATAGACAAGTAGGGTTATTTTTGGTAAGTTACAACAAGTTATTTTTGGTAAGTTGTTTTATTGTATATGTTTTACATTCATCACTCGTGCCTGCTGGCACCGGCTGTGACACCTACAAACGCCTTATGTAAAAAAAATACTGGGACATTCTCAGAAAGTCACTGGACCTTAATGGGTTAAAGACGCTCATCTTCCGTATTATTTGAAAGCTTTCGATGTGTGAACGTGTGGTAGAAAATTGGTTTTCGGCTGAAAATAATTCAATAAATATTTACAAGAGCACGTGTAATAGAAAACAGCTGAAATCTAATAGAAGTGTCGTGTTACAATTCCACTATTGACATTGAATTAATGCCATTCATAAGTATGATTCAAGTCGATTCTACATAGTCATGTTATCAGATGACTTCTATCAATGCACTCAAAGAGAGTGATTGGATTTCAATAATGGAATTGTAATAACACGCAATATTGATCTCGTTAAATTTTATCAGCCGATATCAAATATTGATTAAATCGTATGCACAATTCAAGTATTGATAAAACTTATTGTTACGAATAAAACGACTGCATGTGGTCCGTCGACAATGAACTATTTCACTCACACTGAATATATAAGTAGAAGCTTTGGAACCAACTATCTTAGTTTCGATTAAATGTTTCCAGTTGTAGTTCAATATTTGAATGTCCGAGAATGAAAACGCAACTTCTATTCACAACACATATAAGTGAAACAAAAATAAAAAATTTATTGAAATGAAACAACACAATCGAATTTTTTCAAAGTGTAACAACAAAAAAGATTTTTTTAAAGTGTAACATCGGTATGTTGTTACACTTACTACATACCGATGTTACACTTTAAAAAAATCTTTTTTGTTGTTACACTTTGAAAAAATTCGATTGTGTTGTTTCATTTCAATAAATTTTTTATTTTTGTTTCACTTATATGTGTTGTGAATAGAAGTTGCGTTTTCATTCTCGGACATTCATTTGTATAGTAAACGAATGATCTAAAAGTGAAAATAAAATTTAGGAAAAACTCAAGTGGTTGTAATGAAATGATCTTGTTTGAGAATTCAGTTTTAATTCGATTTGATATTTAGATCCATTCGACGTAACAGCTGAACAAACACTGCGACCAAATCCAAAATCCGTTTTAAAATTACATAAATTTCTAATCTGAGCATTATTGCTGATATAAAAGTATTAAAATGTTATCAAATTAACCAAAAAGCACATACATCTCGAATAGAACTTTAGTCGCAATCGATTTATACAAAAATGAAGTGGTGTTTTCTGTTCAATTTATTGGTTTTATGGTGTTATAATGTGGCTGGTGAGTTTGTAACCCAAGATGAATCATCCGGTGTGTACACTTGGTGGCATTCGAATCACGAGCTAAATACAAACACACCTGTTGCCGATGATGCCGTTCGACGTTCACCATTTTATAACGTTTCGATGGCAACCGTCGAGAATCCCAATTTGAAATTCAATTCGTTTGTCTACATGTCGATACCACGTGGCGGTCGTAACAAATGGGGCTACGACAATTGGGATGGCGCTGAATTTTCTGCCGATGATGGTCATTTGACTATGAGTTGGTCATCGTTTTTGTACGATCGCGATTGTTGGGTTTACATTCAAAAAAGTAACCAAGTGGCTACGAGTGTGAAAATTCGTCCATCATCGTTGAATTTGCGCATCGAACAGTTGGACAGTGCAACCGTTCGCATATTGATTCCGCATTCCGAAGATGGTTTTCGATTTTCCGTTGAATTTGATTCGGAATTGTATACGGCATACAATGATTTGAGTGTCTTGTACAGCGGAAAATTGAATGACAAGGGTGTTGGTCGTGCAATTCATACTGAACCGCGTAATGCAATGTTGGTGTTTGCTGAATCTTTACAAAAAAAGGTAATGAAAATAAAGGAAAAAACAAATTCCAAGCAAGAAATAACCTCGGTGAATTTCTAATCTTGGATACTCTTCTCCCATTTTCAGCATCAATACACGCCAAATTCGTCAATGGGAAGCATTTATTATGCCAACCCAGGTTTATTGAACAATTTGGATGATATCAGAGACGACATTATCTATTTTCGGGCTGGAGTTTATTATATGCCATGGAACTATCACGCCAAACTAAGTGATAGTGTGAAATGGATTTACTTTGAACCCGGTTCATTTGTCAAAGGTGCATTTGAATTTTGTCATGACACACAAAATGCGTTCAAATTTACCGGTTACGGTGTAGTGTCCGGTGAAAAAGTATGTATATGAAGTGGACACAAACAACGGATATCGAACCAAACAGGCAACCGATTGTCATGCCAGTTGTGTGAAATTATTGCGTTTGTCATCGGCGTATGGGCGACAACAGTCGTTGACATTGATCGGTGTTACATTTATGGAACCGCCATATCATTCGTTTGTTGTTAACGGTGATCCGGATAGTTTTGAAATGTTGGTTGAAAATTTCAAAATGGTTGGTGCATGGTACTTCCAAACGGACGGTATCGAACTGTATACCAATGGAAGAATGAACAATACTTTCATTCATTCCAACGATGATGTTTTGAAGTGAGTTTTCTTTTCTTCTTCTTTGTGTTGCACGGATAGGCAGATTTTCTCTCGAAAAATTATCACTTTTTTGGCATAAAAAAAATGATTAAAATTTCAATTTGAATTTCATGATTGTAAAATGATTGAAATTTTATGATAAAAAATATTTTTCTCATAGGATCTATCATCCAAATGTAACAATTGATAATACGGTGATTTGGAAAAATGAAAACGGACCAGTTATACAGTGGGGTTGGGCGCCGCGGAACATAAAAAATGTTCTTGTAAAAAATACACATGTCATTCATAACAAAATGTATTGGGCCGATGTGAAAACGAATACGTGCATTCTGAATTCATCGCCATCTTGGTCACCTAGCGACGTTAAACCCGATCCAAATACCAATATTTCGGATTTGAATTTTGAAAATTTATACGTAGAAGGCATGACCAATTGCGCTATACGTTTGTACGCTTTATCAAACATGGATCGAATTAAAGTGAAAAATTTCCAAATTGATGGATGGAACGATCTTGATGGGCAAGAAAGTAAATTTCATCGTGAATCAAATGAAATTTCAATTGGTGCGAACGCATTAACTTTTGACAACCTTCAAATTGGAAATCAACGCATTTTAAAAGGTAACATCTTTTGGAAACACCAATCACTTGGTCGTTTAGATTTCGACGGTGAATTATATGATAAATGGGATGCAGTATAGTTTTTGGTTTTCTATTTGATTTATTTGCATTGTAAGCAAAGAAACATATTTTACTTTTATTTTATTTAAATAAATTATTTATTCATCAAATTGACTAACTGTGTATTTTCTTGAACTTTTTCCTGAAAAAAAAAAATCACTATGGTTTGATGTGTCAAACCAAGGGTTCATATTCGCAGTGGGATCACTTCTAGTTGAGTTTTCTACTGAATCTGTCAGCATTGAGCATTGAGGATTGAGCATATAAACGCCCAAATCTGTATAAAGGAATGAATCCACTATTTTGTTTGTTTGTGTTATAACTCGCGACGAGAAGAGGCTCTTTTCAGAATATAATCTTAAAGCTTTGAAATATTACTATTCTTTACATTGTCATTCGGATAAATGGTTGGGATTATTTAGTCTTTTCTTGATTTTATGGACACCTCAATTTTGCGAAATTTTCGACGATAATAGAAAAATGTAACTTCTTCTAATCATTCTGATTTTTCACTTAATTTAAACGCAGGTTGTCCATGTCGAGGTAATGGAATATTCGCTCCAATATTTCCGTCGGTAAATTTTCGAGGTGATATGGTCATCGCATATAGTCGTCAATTGGTGTCTCAACGTTCGCGTACATAGTGCTCCTTTTAGCTGCGGTATGCGGTCGAGAATGTTGTTTCCAGTGATTTGTCTAACGGAATCTGTGAAAGGTAAATAATAAAATTTTGATTCAATTTCATTAATATTTTCAAAGCGGTCATGATTTCATTCATGGATTTAATATATGCTTACATTGAAATGGTTCACACAAAAGCTTATAAACGTAAACCTATCATCACGCCATCTGACGGTGAATAGGGTCTTATGGGACTTTGTTTTTTTTCTGAATGGCATGGCATGCTTTTGTAAATTCATTCCTGAATCTTATGTAAACAAATTTTCTGCCGATGATGGCCATTTGAATATGAGTTGGTCATCGTTTTTGTACGTAAGAAGATGGACCCGGCGAGTTGATTTCTGTAGAAATCTCAAATCAGACTCAATTGAATGTCGGTGAATCTTTTCTGACTTTGTGGTGGAGTGTGAACACGGCAAACAAATGTTCTTATTACGTACATTTTGAATGTTAGAAATTTTTTTATTTGATTTTTAAAATGCATGCATAGGAGCATGCGTGTTCGGAGTATCTAACATTAAAATGCATATGGGAAACTAATTCACGCTATGTGGTGTGAATGAAACACACAATCAATTATCGACGAATTCACGTTTCATTACGATCTCTGTTTGTTCTTTACCTCCCATTTTGCCACATACATACGAATTCACTTTTCAATACGATCAAATTATACAGCGAAATGCGATTGGTGAATGGAACGAGCGTGTATATTTTCTACCTGTGTATTACCTGTGTGAAGAATAAATGGAAACAATACATGCGCATGTCCCACTTTTTCCCAGCAAGCGCTTACTGAATGGTAAGGATTAACAAAATGAGAAGACCATGCATGGCAATTGTTGAATGAAAGAAGTTGACTACAGAAGAACTTGAGGTGATTGGTTGATTGGTGTTTTTGCCATCTCTTGTACTACACAAGTATAGCTAAGATCTGTCCCTCATACAAAGATTTAAAATTCCAGAATACCTGTTCGAATTCCACCGTTTGGTATGATTTTTTTTCATCAAATTTTATGCTTCTCGTGTGGATCTCTCCTGAAAGAGCTATTTGGTCTATGAAGTAGTTATTTTGCTTGTCACTTACCTTGGTGTTATTTAACACAAGTCGCAAAAATGTTTTTGCCATGTGTGGCATTGTAATCAAACAAATAGATTTTCGGCCGATCATATTCAATTTTATTATGGATAAATGTGTAAATGCGGTTTTGATTGAGATAATCGACAATAGAATGTTTGAAGCAAATATATTTTAAGGTGAGGTGAAAAACACTGGAGTCATTTTCAATATTTTGATGTAAAAACGGAATCGACTCTGGCTGCAACTGTTGTGCCTTTCAAATTTGAGTCCTGAGAAAAGAAAAAAGTGAAGATAATGAAATTAAACAAGATACATAAAATTGATGTTAATGTGAATTTAAATGCACATACACCTATGCGCTCTTATTCGGCTTGAATACGAGAAAAAATACCGGAAGCAAAGCGAAGTAAATAACGATGGCGAAGAAAAATGCCAATATCATCGGGACCGATAGGTGAATATTGGGTTCTTCATTCATGGTCTCGTCTGTATGTTCATTTGGAAATAGTTCGAAGTTTTCAATATCAATTTGTGCATTATTATCCTCGATTTGCGCAAATGCCTCACTGCCGTCTGCTCCTGCAAAGGGATTTTCATTCATGCCTTCAGCATTATGGTCTTCGTTGCCGTTCTCGATTTTGATAACATGATGCCTGTTGATGTTGTCCAAATCGACCGAAATGTCTTTCGGTTGCTCTTCGTGAGCCCCAGCTGAAGCTTGGACAATTTGGCCCTGATTTTCGGCATTCGAGAAGTGCTCATAGTTTTCTGAGCCAAGGTCGAGAAAAACTCGATGTTGATACTCAACTAACCGTCGACATTCTGGGCAACTCAATCTAAAGAAAAAAAAGGAATTCATTCAATATTTTCGCTTCAATTTTTTTTTTTCTTGAATACATACGCAATAGATCCACCTTGCGCCAATGCTTCGCGGTAGGTTTGAATACAGGATTCGTGGAACAAGTGACCACATTGAAACGTGATGACATCTCCATTTCCATATGACTGCAAACACACCGAGCACACCATATTTGCGAAGTAAGCTTTGGGTGAAATGTAGTGAAATCCACTTGAAAATCTGGGATCGATTGATGTTTGTGATGTTGATTTTTTCTCTCTCAATAGTTTGACGCTGGCACCTCAGCTAATGTTTACTGTGTTCTGGGGGAATGTGTTTCTGTTGCTTCGTTGATGATACTGGAAATGAGAAATATTTTGGATTTAATCATTTAATTGTGGAAAGGGTAATTGGTTACATCAACGTGATCAACGTGAAATACACGACATGATGTGCCCAACCTAGGGGCTTATGTGTCGTACGAATCAGTGTGAATCAGTGCGAATCTCACGAGTCATTTCAAAACATATGGGCAACTGCACGAATCTTACGAGTTTATATGAAGATTCGCGAGTCCTTCACGAGTCTCTCATATAAATTGGCGAATCACTGAACGAAACTATGAAATGTCAACGAGCATGCCAGTTGAACTCACAATTCACTCAATAATCGCCTACTAAATCAACTTTTTGTCATTAAAAATATTTATATTGTCACATTTTGACTGCAAGAAAATTAAAATTAATACAAAATTTTAAAATGGTTGGTTTCGAAATGTTTTTTTTATTTTTTTAAGGCAGACAATAATGTATTTGATGTTTTGGGTGTTGAAATCCCGAGAAAAAAACAGTCTTTGCTTGTCGATCGACTTTGGCTCTTATTTACATAGAGAATATCGCTGAAATTGGTGGAATTCATAAACGAAAATCGTGAAATGTTAGTTGAATCTATTTATGAAAATATTATTCCATCCAAATTTTTGGCAGCGCATCGAATCTTCATACGGAATATGTCAAGTTATATAGATCAACTAAAAAATCGTGAATTTGAACACAAAATGGATTTATCACAATTCCCGAACCCATCAAAATGCTTCATTCAAACAATTCAATCTGATGAAAATAAAAGTGTCGAAGCATTTTTTTTACACTGAACACATTAAGTCATTCTCCACATATATTCATATGATGTATGGCAAATCTTGTTATAAATCATTAATGGTTGACTTGCCCATTCCAAAAATAAGTGCAGTTCGTATGTTTCATAAAACATTTCGTGGATCTTAGTTCCATTGTCAATTTAATACATTTCATTTTCAATTCACATCCATTCCAGTTGCCTATATTAAACAGAATAAGAAAAAAATTATAGAACACAAGCTGAGATCCGAATGGTTTGCAATGTGTATATAAGCTAATTTGCATCGACTCGCGGATTTGCTATAAATGCCATACACTTTCTATGCTATGACTTGTGTATATATTTGTATGAATTCGTTCGAGTCTTCACGAATCTCCGTAAATTGGTGCGAGTCAGTGCGAGTTACTTGCAATTCAGCGCAAATCATTTTTAATTTACATGATATTTTATTGTGATTCTATAAATAGTTCTTTCTTTGTTCTGTGTGTTTTCGGCAGAAATTTCATCGTTTCTTCATCGATGGCTTTGGATAAGGTATTGTGTATAAATTCGGGCAATCAAGTGATTCGTCATTCATTCGTCAATGACACAGAAGCACATACACACAATTTTTTTTATCTGCAATTTTCTTTTCTCTGTCTTCATTGAACAACAACACTGTTCAATATTCATTTTAATTAAATGTTGATACACAACTGTGTCGTTTGAGCTTGAATCCATTCCTACGACGCAACTCACGTATATTCACTTATTCGGAATTAACAGTTTAAAAATGAAACCGTATGGTTCAACTGTAGACTACCCTAGGGGAATTTAACTCTTACGAGTTCAGCATGTTTTCTGCCAGTTTGCTTGATTCGCGGAAGTTCGACGCGTTCGTTGTACGTACTGACGCGCACGGTCACAAGTTTACACAAGTTTGTTTATGGTTTTGCGCGTTTTTCAAGTTGTTATTTGACAACCAAAACGCGTTTCAAACTAAAAATTGCTTGTTTACGTGCATAAAGATTTTTCACATCCTTTCCAAAAGTTGAAAGATTTATATAATTATAAAATGGACAAAGGAAATATTTTTAAAGAGCTGGAGAAAGTGTTGGAAAAGTTAATCCAGATATAATAAATGGAACGACTGATGTGTGCGCGTCGTCCAGCTTCAAGTTTGCACACGAACTCGCGCGCGTTCGCGCATGTTGTTTTAATACGGAACTTGTCAACTGAGTGGAATCATGCAAGTTCTCTGGTGAATGTAACAATTTCGTGCGCGTTTATATCATTTTTTTACAAGTTTTCACGTAGTTAAATCCCCCTAGAGACTACCGTGGAGACGAGGAGATAGGAGAATAGTGAGAAAAAAAAACAAACGAAATTGAGATTTAGCCGAATACCAACAGCGTAAATCATTGTGTGCCAGAGATGACTTTAGCGCACCTGAGTATTTTTGTTGTTTTTTCGTTCTACATACTTTAGCTTTTTGGCCAGAATTTTTTAAAATAATATTTTGTGTAACATAACGAAGAAGAGCTTACATTTTCTGCCCCCGGTATTCGCATTGTGTGGTCATATGCACCTAGTAATTACGCGCATTGGCTCAATTTCACAATATTACGCAATTTCTACTTTTGGGGATTTTTTCTTCATATTTTACTAATATAAATGTGGTTTTTCAAAAACTGTTCTTTGTTATGTTACACAAAATATTGATACAAAGTTTTTTTGACCAAAATGGTAAAGTATAACGAAAAAACAACAAAAAAAAACAACACAAATAATCGGGTGCGCTGTAGCGCACTTGGATGCGCTGAAGTCATCTCTGTTGTGTGCACACAACTTTATATCCTCGCTCGTATAACTTGGAAATTTAGAGTTGAGCCATACGAGAATTGAAAACTTTATTCCAAATTATATTTATTTCACAACGTTGTTATTGAATTGTGCGCTTTATTTCTTGAAAAAAAATATCTTATTTGTTTTTTTT